AGAAATGTAGCCAAACCTTTTAGGCCACAACATGGAAGATTTTTTTTCTTGGATAGAGGTTTTTTTGAAAACAACAGTTTCAACGGAATATGAGGTGGCATAAATTTGATCATATGGGACAAGACACAATCTATATAAACCACGAAACAGTGTGCATTGGCTAATTATTTAAATCATAAAATATTTGGATTGAAACATTATTTATATTAAAGCATAGCCAAGTTTGTTCAATAAGGAAACTGAAATAAGGTTCTTGTTGTGCGTCGCGGAACAAACACAAACGCCGAGAGAAAAGACAACTCAAATTAAACAATAACGGCACAAACTCAAATACAAAAGTTTAACGTGATTCGGCAAATTGCCTACGTCCACGGGGCAAGAAGGGATGAGTTTTCACTATAGAGAAAAGAGAGTACAAAGTAGAGATTACAAGATCACTCAACTAACCTCTCAAACAAATCTCTCAAATCTCACAAACTAAACCCTCAAACAATTACTCAGAAAGATTTCTCTTTTCTGTACTCAAAAATCACCTTCAAGCTATCCCAAAATCCAATTCTGGCAATTAGAACAATAGAAAACCCTAAACAAAATGTATTTCTATTTATATCAAATAGAAAACCCAATCAGAACAGGAAACCAAGTCTAGGTCTAAAACCGCATCACAATCGACCGCCGCGACAGACGCGGTCGATTGTGAAAACGACAGAAACCAAAATTGCACTACAGGGTCTCGCGGTGGACCGCCGCGCCACTCGGGTTGACCGCAAAAAGTGCAGAGACTTTTTCAGGCTGCGTGCACATTCGCGGTCGACTGTAGCTCCACTCGCAGTCGACCGTGCATCATCCAAAACTTTTTCTGCTTCAATTTTCCTGAGCTTCGTCGCCTTCGCCTCCAATTCTACAATTCTCCACCTCGATGAAGTTTTCCCAAAAACTAATCCGACACCAACCAAATTAAATGTCTCACTTGTTGTGTCCAGTACGAAGTAAAACAAAATCACGATAACGGACTGTTTCCGTCGAAAGTCACCTTAGTCATTGATTTCATTAAACTTTAAACGTTACAAATGAATTCAAATAACAAAAGAATAAAATATTACAACTTTCTTGAAAATAAACACAAGATCCGTTTATCGGCTCTTGCTTGCGTGGGTTCTTTGCCGGTGCCGGGGTTAATCCGTGGACGACCGCGAATCAGATCCGATTGATGGAAAATTGGGCAGAGCTTCTACCTCACCAAGGGGGTATTTGCTTGAAGTCCTAAAATCGACAAAGCGAAATCAGGGCTCTTCTCGAGATTAAGACAAAGCCTAATCTCAAGGAACGGACGTACGGGCTTCAGATCCTTCGAGCGGCTTCTCCTTTGCTCTGAAGTTCGCCGGGATCTCGTTGACCTTCGCTGAAATTTCGTGCTCCTTCACTCTTCAATTCCGGCAGCACCTCGTCCTCTTGATCAAATTCCAGATCTCGAAAATGGAGGCCTTTGGCTCATATTTATAGGCCTCAAAATGCGGTTATTTGGATAAGAACAAGGGATTTGGCTCTATCTTCAGTCAACAACAGCCTAACCACGTTTGGGGATGGTCTCAAGTCAGTTAAGAACCCCTGGAATCGATAAACCCTGCAAAAAACCAATTTAAAACTGTCAAAACGTGTTTTGGGACCTTACTGCGCGGCAGGACGATCTGACCCGCGCATGCGCGGGTCGGAATCATCCGACCCGCGCTTGTGCGGGTCGGATCATTCCGTCCTGCGCTTAGCGCGGGTTCGCCGACTTTTTCCCCTTTTTTGGGTTTCTTTCTTCCGGGACTTGTTCTTGCGCGTATTCGATAGATTTGTTGACTTGTGGTGGCTTCGGGGTCTCAAGACGATCGTCGAGACGCCGCGTTGGTAATATACGCGTGGCTGATCGATGCGCGGTGCTGATGACCTGTCCGGCGCGCGTTGACAGGGCGTCATATGAAGTTGGTTCGACGTACGCCTGCTGCGCGATGCGCACGCGCTGATTGACGTGCGCGCGTTTGACAGGCGCGCACGAGTTGGTTTGACGTGCACGCGTTTGACTGACGCGCACGAGATGATTCGACGTACGCGCGCTGACCGGCGCGCACGGGCTGATTGACGTGCACGCGTTGAGCGGCGCGCACGAGTTGATTGACGTGCACGCGTTGAGCGGCGCGCACGAGTTGATTGACGTGCGCGCGTTGACCGGCACGCACGGACTGAATGGCGTGAGTGCGCTGAGTGACGCGTACGAGTTGATTTGGTGAATCTTTTTGATTCGCCCATTCATTGCTTCGAGTTTCGTACGGGCCCTCGTAGACAATTTTAGACGCCTACAGATACCCCCTCCAAAGTGTTTCAGCCTCATTCTTTTATAGAGGAGTCTGAAATGCTTTGGATATGATGGATCCCCACCTTCAGGCGGTGTTAAAAGGACCTACAGATGGTTTCGATTCTTGACTTCTCCTTATTTTAGCGTATTCTGTATTTTGTCGAATAGCTAAGATTTTCTCGGTATTGCATTTATCGTCTGACCGTTATTAAAGCCTTGAACCGGAGTTGGTGAGTAGATTTTTGTTGATATGTCATTGAGTTGACTTTTGGATCAATTGCAACGCGTTGACCGGCATTGACCTAGGGCTACGCGTTGACCGGCGTTGACCTTAGGGTTTCGCATTAACCTGAGGAGAACCAGTTTATACTCGTGTACTCCTGGGAGTTTCGGGAATCAGGTTAACCTCGTGTACCCGTCGGAGGTTGCCAGGTTATCCTTAAGAATTATTATCTGTAATATTCTCTAGGAACTTCCTGTCAAAATGGGGAACAATTTAGACTCATGTACCCGTTGGAGTTTGGATTTCGAATATTCCAATAATAGGTGAAAATATCATGAAATCACCCAAAATATAACAATGGGTCTCGAGTATTCTGAAAATAGACGAAAATATCTCGAAATTATTTGGGAGACGGAATTGAACTCCGAAATTCCGAATCTGACTGAAAATGCTGCTCAATTATCCGAGAGATGAAATTGAACTCTGAACATTCCAAATATGAGCGAAGATACCGTGAAATTGTCTGGGAGATGAGGTTAAGCTTCGAAAATTTCGAAAACGGACGAAATCAGTCGGGAAATATAGCAAAACGGGCCTGAACTGGGTCTGACCCGCGTTCACGCGGGTCAGATGAATCCGACCCGCGTGATTGCGGGTCGGATTGATCCGACCCACGTGATTGCGGGTCGGATTGATCCGACCCGCGAGCACGCGGGTCGGACACAAGTCCGACCCGCGGAACGCGGGTCGGAATTTGGGAGAAGGGATAAAAATCCCATTTCCTTTCTTCCTTATTCCTTCTTCAAATTCGGTCCCAGCTCTTTTCCCCTCTCAAAATTTCGGTTTTCTTCACTTGAGTTCTAGTTCTTTGAAAGTTCCTCTTCCTCAAGAATTCTAAACAAATCAAAGCTTCCCCCTTTAAAACCCATCAGCTCCTCTTCTTCCCACTTGGATTCGAGCAAAGGAGAATTCAGATCTAGGGTTCGGGATTTTCTCCTTCTTCAAGCTCCACTCTTCTTGAAATTTGGGTAAGTCTTCTTCCTATTCCCTTGCTTTGATTTTAGTTAGTTCTTCATGCTTTGATTCAATGTTTGAAACCCTAGTTCTTGGATTTGAGCAAAAACCGAATTTTGGTCTTGGATTCTGATGGTGGCCGATTTTTTTGAGCTTGATTCTTGAGTTTGTGTAAAGAACTGAAGTTGTTGATTAGAACTCTTTATTAGCCGAAATTTTCACTGTCCATGGCCAAAATTTACTGTTCATGGCCGAAATTGGTTGACTGTTCATGGCCGAATTTTGCCATTTGTGTTGATTTTGGCGCTCGTGTTTGTGTTTGATTGAGAATGAGGTTGATGACTGAATGCGTGGTCGAACGGCTCCTCGAACCTATGTGTGGCTGAAAATTCTTGTTGAGGTCTTTGAGCTATTCATGGTTGAATTCATTTATGTGCTTGAACTTTGTATATAATTCGAACTCATGTATATGATCGACTTCAAACTTTGTATATAGCCAAGCCCTTGTATATGATTGAACTCTTATGTATGCCTTGGGTTCAAACATGTGTAAGGTCGAGAATTAACTTGAATTCAAACTTGTATATAGCCAAGTTCTCGTGTATGGTTGAACTCTTATATTCCTTGAATCCAAACTTGTATGTAGCTCGAGAATTTGAACCCGAACCTGTATATGGTTGAACTCGTGCGTGATCGAA